AATCGCCATGGTAGACATGCGAACACGGCATGCATGTGGCTTCTTGCCCGACACAAAACTTTTCCAAACATATCATGCATTCTTCCATGGAACCCGAACCCTCCAGTCTGACCTTCTTCAGACCCTCGATGGACGATTTAGTGGCAGGCACAGCCTTGAACATATCTAATTCCATGGATTCTTGGATTGCCCTATTCACAGCTTGAGTTTCATCATGTGCCTCGTACTCGATCAGAATATCGGCAAGAACTATGGGAATTGCACCACCACTACAGGTACTAGAAGCTGGATCTACACCCATGTCCAGATAGAAAGAGGCGATGGCGTTTAACATCTGATCCTGATCATTGATGGGGATTCCCACTGCTGAAAGACAAAAAGATAAGAAGACCCGAGCCGAGTCTTCGTGCAGTAGCATCTCATGTAACAGAGTAAAAGCCTGCGCGTATTCAGGAAGTTCTTGCACAACAGAATCGTTGATATATGCACGTCGACGAATGCGGATTTGGAGGCAAAGCGACTCGTATGGTGGCAGACGCCGAGTGCCTAGTGGAAGAGCATCCCTGTCCAGTTGCAATGAGTAGTGGTTTGGCATATTGATTCTTGAAGAAAGAAGATGAACTAAAGAGATTGCTGGTTGTGAGAGATTGGTGGGCTGAGAGAGATTGTTGATTCTTGAGAGATGGGTGAGGAATGTTAATGGAGAATGGTTTCGTGTGAAAGATGTTAAGAGCAGACTTTGTATTATAGATTGGAATACGCGTAGAGGACTACCAGTTGAAATGAAAGAGGTCACTGTGTGTAGTTGTCAGTTTTGAAAAGAAACAAAAAGGTTTATAGAACTATTCAATAATTGAGATTATCAAGTTCAATTTTTAAGTTTAGTTTTTAAATTTATTTAACATTATTCTTATTAATAGTGTTACTCGTTAATTTGACCCATAATTCGCACCAAATATATCATATTTCAAATATTTGTGTTGAATGCAACAATATCTAATTCATTTGTGATCGAAATAGAAATTTATACATATGATTTAGTTGAAAGATTATTTGATAAAATTATGAGATTAGATTGCATTTTCGGATCAAATTTGAATTTTATAATCAATTCCAATGTAATTTAAATTTTATAATCAATTCTAATGTGAAAATAAGATGATATCCGAACAAATTTCAATCAAAATCCTTATATCAAATTTTAAACCATTCAAAATCCAATCTATTTACAAGTCTCCAATCATGGGAGAAGTGGCGAATCAATAAGCTGGACTTGGTTATGCAACACAAAAACTCTAACTCTTGGCTTGCCAATAGAAATTCAAGTGAGCTCAGTCACTAGAATTGACATAGCAGTGTTGCATTATCAGAAAAATTCCACAAGTTACTTGGAACAGAGGGTACGGACACACGTATACTTAGATTTCCTTGTTTGCCTAGGATTGAAATGGATTCACGCGGTATCCTATTTCGATTTAAATGTTTTGTTGTACCCTAAAATTCTTGACCGCTAGCACTATATATATGAACATAGTAGCCAAAAACCTTATTCATCCTATCAAGTAATCATGGCTTCCTACACTCCAAGAAGAATATACTTGATCCTCAACTTAATTGTCGTGATCATCACCACCATATTCTTCTTCACGTTTCACAATCCAACTTCATCTAACAAAGGAGAAAAGATGGCGGGTCGAGACTACGAGCGATCAAGAATGGAGCATTGTGTTGGGCTCTTCTTTGATCCTCCACCACCTCCAAGATCCGGTGATGAACGCATGAAGAGTAAGGTGGACAAGAATCTTTGTAGAGACATACTTCGTGCGGTTGGTGAGATACATAACAAATGGGGCGAATTACCCATCAATTATATTGAAGCCCTAAAAAAAGTTCATCGATTTAAGAAAAACTCAAAGGCTCTGAATGAGTTTCTTCATCGAAATCATCCCAGTTATGGTTTCACCTACCAAGTGTAATTCAAAGAGTCGTATGTTATTTTTAGTGAGGAACTTGGAGTGAATCGTCAATCATACATATTTTCTTGTGTAGAATTATACCTTATCTGATGAAAGATGTAAATTTATATAAGATTTTATAGAGACGAAAACAATTTGTAGTTTTGGATTGTTAAATATGTGTTGCTCATTCGTGATGTTTATGTTTCTTATTTCAATTATTTGTGAAACGTTAATGCTTTGCTTTAGCTCCACAAATATCTGCATCAAGATTTTCAACCGCCCTTTTTATTGTCATAACCATCACCATGGTAATGGTCATCTCATCAAACATCCAGATACATCTAAACAAAGAAGAAGATAGGACTATGATATCAAAACATAAAAACTTTGGTATATTTTAATTAATGAAAAACTTTTAGTACGTTATAAAAAAAAAAACTTTTAAGTATCGTAATGAAACCCAAAGAAAAAAATAAACATCTAAGGCCAACGTGACAAATGATCACAAGTGGAGTGCTGTGTGATGCTCTTCCACAGATCCTAGCATCATGATCTCCACAATACGGTGAATACGGAATTTTGAAACCGACTATGTGGCAACCATATATAGGAGTAAGTACATTTGCGTAAGTGCATCAACTTGCTTGACGAAAAAATGGCTCCCCTGTTTTGTCCGTCGTTCTCACCTTGAACCAGAAGCACCATTGTTGAGATCTCCTTGTTCCTTTCTCTTGTCTGTTAGAGATAGTTAGTAATGTAAAGAATCCCACATTAAAAATGTTGAAAGGGAATGTAAGGGTTTAAAAGGAGAAACACACCAAATTTTAGAAATTTGGATGGTGGGAAGATTTAGAGGGCAGCTCCAAATATTTCAAATCAATGAGCCTTAATTAAACTTTAAGTAAAATAATCTTTAAAGTCAAAAGATGGGCTTGAAACCTTTAAATAATTAATTATTTTTGTATTAATTAATTGCTAAATGTCTTTCGGTCCAAGAGTTGTGTCTCTTCTTTACATTTCTTTGGCCTAAGAGTTGTGTCTCTTCACTAAGGTATTATAAATACCTGTACAGATATTTCAATTGAAGTATATACAAAAAAAAGTTTCTCTATTCTGTTATTGGGAGAATTTTAGAGTTTGCTATTTGAAATTTTGTTTGGCTTTGGGTTTGGCTTTGTTTTTTTTTTTTCGGAAGGTAAAGTGTATTAAATAAAACAGAAATACCAAGGGTGATCACCCCCAAAATGTACAATGAAGTCACGTAAGACTCAAAAACAAACATCAAACCCAAAAAGCCAAGGCTTAAAAACACAATTCTGAAAGAGCTACCCTAAGTAAGGGTATCTCCCCCAAAATTGTTGACAAGAGTACAATGGTTAACAAAAACAAAACATGATCTCAATTCATCCAACAAGATAGCAGATGCCCTGAGCAAGAGAAACTCCCATTGAAATGCATGGTAGCAGACCAATCCAGCCATTTGCAGTAGCAAATTTAGCGCCAACTCAACACACCATAGCAAACCAACACACCAATAAAATTAGCACCAGCAACAATAGGTAGCAAGAAGACAGCCCCAACGAGCAAGTAAGCCAGAAAATATCGCACAGAAGTGAGGATGAAATCAGTACCACCAAAATCAGCCCAAGACACCAATAAAATCAGCACTAGCAACAACATGCATCAAACAGACAACCCCAACGAGCAATTACGCTAGAAAAAATCGTACAAAAGTCAGGATGCAAGGATAGCATAGCCAACAAAGGATTCCCAACAAAGCCATTTGCATTCCACATGGGTGATGAAAGGATGAGAAGGAACATCAGAGAACTTAGACCCTTATGCAAGAACTAGGACGTTGCCCTATATGAAATAACCGCATGTTCAATTGAGAGGAATTGAACTTGGCCGAAGACAATCTGTCCCTAACTGTCTGCACAATGAGGTTTAACAAGGACTTGTAGTCTCTCACTTGGTTTTGATGGATTCTGTTATTCCGTTCCCTCCATATAAAATACACACTCACTGCCAAACAAAGTCTTCTCAACACACTCACCATGGACTTACCCTTCCAAATTTGGATCACATGACTTACCAGATGTTGCCAAGAGTTAAGTTGTCCCTGCTCACCAGTGAGCTGAAGCAAATTTCTCCATATGCTCCTTGAGTAATGACTTTCAAAAAATAAATGAGAATGGGTCTCATCAGCTTGTCTACATAGAACACATTCCATCCCCATATTGTTTATATAAACTTGAGTTCTATCCTTTGTGCCAAGCCTTGTTCTAATGGCTAGCCAAAGAATAAAGCTCATCCTAGGAATAACATGACTATACCACACCAAATGAACCCAAGGCACTTTAGGAGAATGAACTCTCACTTGATTCTAGGCAGAGATTGAGGAGAAAGTGTCATTTGGGGTAGGAATCCATTTAAAAACATCCCATCTTTGTTGACATGGTTGGTAGGAGGGCATGGTTTTTTTAATTTCCCGAAGCTCAAAGGTTCCTGTGTGAGGCCAATGTCATAGATTATTCCTTATAATGTTGCTAACCTAGAGGAATTTGTCATAAACCCAACAGCAACATAGTGGGGGCATAATTTCCTTAAGGACAGTGAATACAAGATCAAAGCCTTCTAATTTAGTGAAATCCTATTTTGCTAACATTGTCTCCTCTTAACCGAATCCCCGTTCTTCTTTTTTCGGCTGCCTGCCCACCTTCATAACCCCATTGTAGCCTTTCCCTTTTTTACTTAGCTACTATGATTCAACCATTCCCTTTACTTTCCACATTTACTCCTCACCTCTGACACCAAAATCTCAACTTATACACCAAATCCCTCTCTCAGCTATTCCCCCGACTTCTAGATCTCTTCTCAAATCACCCGATCTGTCACCAATTTTGCATTAATGACCTACCCAACCATTTACCCTCCATTACTAACACCCCTTAACTAACCTATTTGTCAACCTACATTCTGATGGATTCATTCAATGAGTCACCAAATCCAAACAAAAATCAAGATATTAACCCCTCTTTGATGTCCGTTGAAGAAGCAGGTAAAAGGAAATCCAAGGCCATAGCTCAGCTGGACCTACACAAAGGGGCACCATCGCCAGAGAATAACAGCCAACAAAAACAAGGTCCACCCAAGGAGTCTTGGAGCCAGGTTGTGAAGGCAGGCAAATGAGGTAACCCTCAAGAAGGAAAACCAGTTAATGGGGGGAAACAACCAATCAAGAGGTTAAAGTATTTCAAACCTTGCAAAGAAAATGATAGAATTGTTGTCAAACCACCATCAGAAATCAGAAAACAGGGATGCATTGAGTGGCAAAACTTCCTTGTAGGGTATTTTATAGAGAGAAAATTGCCTTATTCCACAGTTAGTTTCATTGCTCACAAGGTTTGGGATAGGATGGGTTTACTGGAGGTCCATGCAAATGGAAATGGATTTTACTATTTTTAGTTCATGGATGATGAATCCCAAACTAAGGTGTTTGAGGCTGGCCCCTGGTTATTTTCAGGGAGGCCACTCATATTGAAAAAGTGGACTCCTGATTTGTTATTTACCAAAGAGGATCATTCTACCATCCCTCTTTGGGTCAAGCTTTATAATATTCCACTGCAATTCTGGAGTGTGGATGGTCTTCGCCATATTGCTAGTGCAGTTGGTACCCCATTGTATGATGACACCATGACTACCAATAAAAAGAGACTTAACTTTGCAAGGATATGCATTGAGGTGAGTGCTGAAGCCAATCTTGTGGAGGCATTTGATTTGAGGATGGATATAGAAGACAAAATAGAGACGGTGGAAATAAAGGTGGAGTACCAATAGAAGCCTAGCGTCTGTCATTCTTGTAAAGTGTTTGGTTACAAAGAAGGTTATTGTTCACAAGTAGGTGCTAGTCACTCTTCTCATACATAGCCGGTTATGAATAACACTAGCAACAAGGACAAAGGGAAAGACATTATAACCCTATTGGGGGATGTGGGAGGTGCCATGGAGGTTCCACAACCTGGGAAAAGCCTACCCCAAGTGGGAAATATGGATGCCAACAGCAGCAGTGCCATCAAGTCTGTTAACAACCAGTGTCCAAATGGGCCAGAAGATGAAACCCAGGTGACCACTAACATTCTCACTACTATAATTGTTAGTGATAAGAATCATACAGAGCAATCTGCGAAGCCAATTTAGTCCCCTAACAAATTTGGAAGTTTAAATTTGGAAGGAGGGGAAATTGTTGTGGATTTATCCCCAGTCCCTTGTACTAATAGTGGTGACACTGCTATTAACATGAGACAAGTGAATGAGGTTGTATCCATTGGGCATGAACCTGAGGTTGAGAACTTGCCTGAAGGGGAACATAAAAAGAAGAAGGTAAAGAAGAAAGACAGTAAACTGGGGAAATGAAAGGTGTTGGAGCACCTCAAAACCAAAAAATCTCTATTATTATGTTAAAAGTATCTTGTTGGAATGTGAGAGGGTTGAATAAACCCTGGAAGCAGGGAGAAGTTAGGAAATTTATCAGGGATCAAAACTTGGACTTATTAAGTCTAGTGGAGACCAAGATTAGAAGCGTTAATAAGGATGTGGCTATGAGAAATGTGTATGGACAATGGGAGCATGTGGACAATTACAATTGCCACAACAGAAGAAGGATTTGGGTTGGGTGGAAACCTCATACTTTAAGAGTGAATAAAATCTCTGCTACTGAGCAAGTTATCCATTGTTTTGTTAATCACTTGGAGACAATTGACTCTTTTTTTGCCTTTGTTGTATATGGATCTAACGAGGAACAAGATAGAAGACACCTTTGGGGGAATCTGGTTTACCATGCTGGAATGTTTGCATCCTTACCATGGACAATTCTTGGGGATTTCAATACTATTAGACACACTCAGGAATCAATGGGCTGCTCTAGTAGATGGTGCCAGTCCAATGAAGACTTTTTTGAAGATTGTCTTCAATGTGCTGAATTAGTGGATCTTAAGTTTTCTGGGTGCCTTTTTACATGGAGTGACTGCAGAATTGAAGCTTGGAGTATTGTCAGGAAATTAGATAGGGTTATGGTAAATGAAGAATGGAATATCAGATTTCAACAATTAGAAGCTGTGTTTTTGCCACCAGGAATGTCGGATCATAGTCCAGCTCTGCTTAAGATTGGTCAAGAAATAAGGAAAAGAAGGAGTCCTTTCAAGTTCTTTAACTTCATGACTGAGAGGCTAAACTTTCTACCTACGGTTGATCTGATTTGGAGGGAACCCATCTAGGGAACTCAACAATACCAGGTGTGCTGCAAATTGAAGAAAATCAAGGATTCCTTCAAGGCAAAGAGCAGAGAGCTTGGTGATATTTCAGAGAGGGCGAAGGAAGCAAAAGAGGCCGTGGAAAACTGCCAGAGAAGGTTAGCTACTGATCCACTTAACAATAACCTGAGACTTGAGGAGAAGCAACCTCTTGCCACCTACTCAACTGCTGCTAGAAATGAGGATTCCTTCCTTAAACAGAAATCCTTCCTATTTCTTGCTAGATCTCCTTGTTCCTTTCTCTTGTCTGTTAGAGATAGTTAGTAATGTAAAGAATCCCACATTAAAAATGTTGAAAGGGAATGTAAGGGTTTAAAAGGAGAAACACACCAAATTTTAGAAATTTGGATGGTGGGAAGATTTAGAGGGCAGCTCCAAATATTTCAAATCAATGAGCCTTAATTAAACTTTAAGTAAAATAATCTTTAAAGTCAAAAGATGGGCTTGAAACCTTTAAATAATTAATTATTTTTGTATTAATTAATTGCTAAATGTCTTTCGGTCCAAGAGTTGTGTCTCTTCTTTACATTTCTTTGGCCTAAGAGTTGTGTCTCTTCACTAAGGTATTATAAATACCTGTACAGATATTTCAATTGAAGTATATACAAAAAAAAGTTTCTCTATTCTGTTATTGGGAGAATTTTAGAGTTTGCTATTTGAAATTTTGTTTGGCTTTGGGTTTGGCTTTGTTTTTTTTTTTTCGGAAGGTAAAGTGTATTAAATAAAACAGAAATACCAAGGGTGATCACCCCCAAAATGTACAATGAAGTCACGTAAGACTCAAAAACAAACATCAAACCCAAAAAGCCAAGGCTTAAAAACACAATTCTGAAAGAGCTACCCTAAGTAAGGGTATCTCCCCCAAAATTGTTGACAAGAGTACAATGGTTAACAAAAACAAAACATGATCTCAATTCATCCAACAAGATAGCAGATGCCCTGAGCAAGAGAAACTCCCATTGAAATGCATGGTAGCAGACCAATCCAGCCATTTGCAGTAGCAAATTTAGCGCCAACTCAACACACCATAGCAAACCAACACACCAATAAAATTAGCACCAGCAACAATAGGTAGCAAGAAGACAGCCCCAACGAGCAAGTAAGCCAGAAAATATCGCACAGAAGTGAGGATGAAATCAGTACCACCAAAATCAGCCCAAGACACCAATAAAATCAGCACTAGCAACAACATGCATCAAGCAGACAACCCCAACGAGCAATTACGCTAGAAAAAATCGTACAAAAGTCAGGATGCAAGGATAGCATAGCCAACAAAGGATTCCCAACAAAGCCATTTGCATTCCACATGGGTGATGAAAGGATGAGAAGGAACATCAGAGAACTTAGACCCTTATGCAAGAACTAGGACGTTGCCCTATATGAAATAACCGCATGTTCAATTGAGAGGAATTGAACTTGGCCGAAGACAATCTGTCCCTAACTGTCTGCACAATGAGGTTTAACAAGGACTTGTAGTCTCTCACTTGGTTTTGATGGATTCTGTTATTCCGTTCCCTCCATATAAAATACACACTCACTGCCAAACAAAGTCTTCTCAACACACTCACCATGGACTTACCCTTCCAAATTTGGATCACATGACTTACCAGATGTTGCCAAGAGTTAAGTTGTCCCTGCTCACCAGTGAGCTGAAGCAAATTTCTCCATATGCTCCTTGAGTAATGACTTTCAAAAAATAAATGAGAATGGGTCTCATCAGCTTGTCTACATAGAACACATTCCATCCCCATATTGTTTATATAAACTTGAGTTCTATCCTTTGTGCCAAGCCTTGTTCTAATGGCTAGCCAAAGAATAAAGCTCATCCTAGGAATAACATGACTATACCACACCAAATGAACCCAAGGCACTTTAGGAGAATGAACTCTCACTTGATTCTAGGCAGAGATTGAGGAGAAAGTGTCATTTGGGGTAGGAATCCATTTAAAAACATCCCATCTTTGTTGACATGGTTGGTAGGAGGGCATGGTTTTTTTAATTTCCCGAAGCTCAAAGGTTCCTGTGTGAGGCCAATGTCATAGATTATTCCTTATAATGTTGCTAACCTAGAGGAATTTGTCATAAACCCAACAGCAACATAGTGGGGGCATAATTTCCTTAAGGACAGTGAATACAAGATCAAAGCCTTCTAATTTAGTGAAATCCTATTTTGCTAACATTGTCTCCTCTTAACCGAATCCCCGTTCTTCTTTTTTCGGCTGCCTGCCCACCTTCATAACCCCATTGTAGCCTTTCCCTTTTTTACTTAGCTACTATGATTCAACCATTCCCTTTACTTTCCACATTTACTCCTCACCTCTGACACCAAAATCTCAACTTATACACCAAATCCCTCTCTCAGCTATTCCCCGACTTCTAGATCTCTTCTCAAATCACCCGATCTGTCACCAATTTTGCATTAATGACCTACCCAACCATTTACCCTCCATTACTAACACCCCTTAACTAACCTATTTGTCAACCTACATTCTGATGGATTCATTCAATGAGTCACCAAATCCAAACAAAAATCAAGATATTAACCCCTCTTTGATGTCCGTTGAAGAAGCAGGTAAAAGGAAATCCAAGGCCATAGCTCAGCTGGACCTACACAAAGGGGCACCATCGCCAGAGAATAACAGCCAACAAAAACAAGGTCCACCCAAGGAGTCTTGGAGCCAGGTTGTGAAGGCAGGCAAATGAGGTAACCCTCAAGAAGGAAAACCAGCTAATGGGGGGAAACAACCAATCAAGAGGTTAAAGTATTTCAAACCTTGCAAAGAAAATGATAGAATTGTTGTCAAACCACCATCAGAAATCAGAAAACAGGGATGCATTGAGTGGCAAAACTTCCTTGTAGGGTATTTTATAGAGAGAAAATTGCCTTATTCCACAGTTAGTTTCATTGCTCACAAGGTTTGGGATAGGATGGGTTTACTGGAGGTCCATGCAAATGGAAATGGATTTTACTATTTTTAGTTCATGGATGATGAATCCCAAACTAAGGTGTTTGAGGCTGGCCCCTGGTTATTTTCAGGGAGGCCACTCATATTGAAAAAGTGGACTCCTGATTTGTTATTTACCAAAGAGGATCATTCTACCATCCCTCTTTGGGTCAAGCTTTATAATATTCCACTGCAATTCTGGAGTGTGGATGGTCTTCGCCATATTGCTAGTGCAGTTGGTACCCCATTGTATGATGACACCATGACTACCAATAAAAAGAGACTTAACTTTGCAAGGATATGCATTGAGGTGAGTGCTGAAGCCAATCTTGTGGAGGCATTTGATTTGAGGATGGATATAGAAGACAAAATAGAGACGGTGGAAATAAAGGTGGAGTACCAATAGAAGCCTAGCGTCTGTCATTCTTGTAAAGTGTTTGGTTACAAAGAAGGTTATTGTTCACAAGTAGGTGCTAGTCACTCTTCTCATACATAGCCGGTTATGAATAACACTAGCAACAAGGACAAAGGGAAAGACATTATAACCCTATTGGGGGATGTGGGAGGTGCCATGGAGGTTCCACAACCTGGGAAAAGCCTACCCCAAGTGGGAAATATGGATGCCAACAGCAGCAGTGCCATCAAGTCTGTTAACAACCAGTGTCCAAATGGGCCAGAAGATGAAACCCAGGTGACCACTAACATTCTCACTACTATAATTGTTAGTGATAAGAATCATACAGAGCAATCTGCGAAGCCAATTTAGTCCCCTAACAAATTTGGAAGTTTAAATTTGGAAGGAGGGGAAATTGTTGTGGATTTATCCCCAGTCCCTTGTACTAATAGTGGTGACACTGCTATTAACATGAGACAAGTGAATGAGGTTGTATCCATTGGGCATGAACCTGAGGTTGAGAACTTGCCTGAAGGGGAACATAAAAAGAAGAAGGTAAAGAAGAAAGACAGTAAACTGGGGAAATGAAAGGTGTTGGAGCACCTCAAAACCAAAAAATCTCTATTATTATGTTAAAAGTATCTTGTTGGAATGTGAGAGGGTTGAATAAACCCTGGAAGCAGGGAGAAGTTAGGAAATTTATCAGGGATCAAAACTTGGACTTATTAAGTCTAGTGGAGACCAAGATTAGAAGCGTTAATAAGGATGTGGCTATGAGAAATGTGTATGGACAATGGGAGCATGTGGACAATTACAATTGCCACAACAGAAGAAGGATTTGGGTTGGGTGGAAACCTCATACTTTAAGAGTGAATAAAATCTCTGCTACTGAGCAAGTTATCCATTGTTTTGTTAATCACTTGGAGACAATTGACTCTTTTTTTGCCTTTGTTGTATATGGATCTAACGAGGAACAAGATAGAAGACACCTTTGGGGGAATCTGGTTTACCATGCTGGAATGTTTGCATCCTTACCATGGACAATTCTTGGGGATTTCAATACTATTAGACACACTCAGGAATCAATGGGCTGCTCTAGTAGATGGTGCCAGTCCAATGAAGACTTTTTTGAAGATTGTCTTCAATGTGCTGAATTAGTGGATCTTAAGTTTTCTGGGTGCCTTTTTACATGGAGTGACTGCAGAATTGAAGCTTGGAGTATTGTCAGGAAATTAGATAGGGTTATGGTAAATGAAGAATGGAATATCAGATTTCAACAATTAGAAGCTGTGTTTTTGCCACCAGGAATGTCGGATCATAGTCCAGCTCTGCTTAAGATTGGTCAAGAAATAAGGAAAAGAAGGAGTCCTTTCAAGTTCTTTAACTTCATGACTGAGAGGCTAAACTTTCTACCTACGGTTGATCTGATTTGGAGGGAACCCATCTAGGGAACTCAACAATACCAGGTGTGCTGCAAATTGAAGAAAATCAAGGATTCCTTCAAGGCAAAGAGCAGAGAGCTTGGTGATATTTCAGAGAGGGCGAAGGAAGCAAAAGAGGCCGTGGAAAACTGCCAGAGAAGGTTAGCTACTGATCCACTTAACAATAACCTGAGACTTGAGGAGAAGCAACCTCTTGCCACCTACTCAACTGCTGCTAGAAATGAGGATTCCTTCCTTAAACAGAAATCCTTCCTATTTCTTGCTGCAATGTGTTCTACAAAGCTATTTCAAAACTTATTGCTAATAGAAATCAAAGGTGCACTTAAAGATATTATTAGCCTTACCAATCAACATTCATCCCTGGTAGAAGAATCAGTGATAACATTCTATGTCCTCTCTAGCATGCATATTTATTGGGCTGCTCACCTTTTCTTACCACTACAAGTTTTGGATAGAGTTGAACACATTATGCGTGCTTTTTTGTGGAAGGGGGTTGAACTCAAAACTACTGGGGCCAAAATTGCTAGGAAGGATGTGTATAGGCCAAAACAAGAAGGAGGTCTAGGGATTAAATGCTTGAAATTTTGGAATGCAGCACTTATGATGAGGCATTTATGGATTCTTTTTGAGGACAAAGAGACCTATGGGCCAAATGGATTCACACTTACCAGTTAAAGGGATGAGTCTTTGGGAGGTAAGGCCATCAAGCAATAGTTCATGGAATTGACAAAATATGTTAAAGCTGAGAGACCGGATTAGACCTCACTTGATCCACACAATTGGAATGGAGAGTCGACAAGTCTATGGTATGACAATTGGCACCCAAGATGCCCTCTTATTTTGAGTTGGAATCACAAATTATCGCTAATTCTAGTTTACCGAAGGATGCTAAAGTGAGCAGGATTATTTTTTACAACAAGTGGCAGTGGCTGCAAACTCCTTATACTGATTTATGTGATATTTCTTGCTCTATGCCTTCCTATGCCCCAAACCAGGCCAGAGTGGATGGTGTCAAGTGGGCTCCTACTGTCAATGGCATGTTCTCTGTTGCGTCTGCCTGGGATGTCATTAGGAACCCAAACCCAAAAGTGCCATGGTTTAAGCTGGTTTGGTTCACACAAGCTGTTCCTAGATTGAGTTTCATTTTATGGTTGGCTATTAATGGGAGACTCAGTACTAAGGATAGGATTTTTAATCCTAGTGTGGGTGGAATTGTATTCTGTGTAGAAGGGTTGCTGAAACACATGCTCATTTGTTCTTTGAGTGCACTTATTCTCACAGTGTTTGGATTCAGCTACAGAACATGCCCACTCAATCTTGGCAACCCAGGACATGGCTGGTGTTTCTTGCTTGGGTTGCTCAAAACAGAAAAGTAATTCTGCTTTGACAGTGCTGCAGAAACTAAGTCTCCAAGCCACATTGTACTGCCTTTGGAGTGAAAGAAACAACAGGTTATTTAGGAATGAATTTAAAGATACTGAGTCTACTCTGCACAACATTTTGCAGATCACATCAGGATAGGATGGTGTCTTTGAAATTTAGGAACTCATATCATAATCAACGAGTGGCTCAATAGCGGCAGTTACCAACCACATATTGTCTTAACCCATGATTCTTCTTTGATTATACAGTCCCCTGTTCATGGTGGCCTGTTATTGCATTCTCTGTTTTCCCCTAGAGTTAGGATTCTACTGAAGTACCAGTTGAAGGCGACACTTTCTGTTTTTTTAGTAATCCTTCTCTTGGTTTGTTGTGTTGTCTCTTGCGCTTACTTTCTTTTGTTACGGGTGGTGCACTGTCATGTAAGTATCACCCTATGTTTTTTGTCTGTATTGTTCTTTTATGAATATAATTTTACCTTCCCAAAAAAAAAAAAACCATATATAGTAGTGAATGCTAATAAGGATTTTATTTGGGGATTTTATTTAGAGACTTAATATTGTGGACCTCAATGTAATTATTGAATTAGTTGTGAGTTCTAATGTTAGATGAAGTCTACAACCAATTCAATGGTTATACATCATTATGTCCTTAAATAAAGTCTCCAAATAAAGTTTAAATAACATTCCAAACATTTTAATATGGGTCTATACTGCATTTGGATGCACAAAATCGCTTCGTATATTATATATGAGATTTAACTAGATAAATATCACATACAAATAATTTTAATACAATTTATCCGTACTATTGAACTATTTTAATATCACCAGGAGAGGTGATATTACGGTCTACGTGTATTATATCACTATTTTATAATTTTATCCTCAAATCTAAGAAATATTCATGTGATAATTCTTCTTTTTTATTTTAATAATAATTACATAGACAACAAACATTAATAATAAACAAATTCATATACCCAAAGTACACTTTTATACAACTAAAGTAGCTATGATAAACTCCAAGATGTTTAATTTTGTTGCTTGGAATATTAGAGGCTTGAATAAACCTTCTAAGACAGGAAGAAATTAGGAAATTGATTTTTGAAAAAACATGCGGACCTTGTAGGCATTATTGAGACTAAAGTTAGAGGTGTTAATAGAGACACTGTCAAAAGGAATGTATTTAGGCACTGAGAGTCTGTTGATAATTTTCACAGTCACTATTTGGGAAGAATTTTGGTGGGATGGAATCCCAATACCCTAGAGGTTAACAAGCTCTCTAAAACTAAACAAGTGATACTTGTAGCGCTTTGCACATTCATAGTAGGACCAAATTTTTTGCATCTTTTGTGTATGGGCAAGTGAGGATTAGGAAAGGAGGAGTTTATAGTGGAACTTAATATCACAGTCTATCATATTTAGCTCACTCCCTTGGATTCTCTTGGGTGATTTCAATGCCATCAGAAAACACCCAAGAGAGCCAGGATGGCTATAATAGATGGTCTCAGGCTATGGAGGATTTTGAAGATTGTATACAGGGGGTGAACTGGTGGAATTAAGGTACTCTAGTATCTTTTTTACATGGAGGAACAAAAGAGAAGGGGAGCCTGCATTGCCAAAAAACTCGACAGAGTCTTTGTTAATGAAAAATGGACCTAACAGTTTGAGCACTCGGGGGTGAATTTTTACCATCAAGCATATCAGA